TGAACTTGGTGGTTGGCAGATACTGAAATTGGTGGTTGGCAGGTGCTAAGTTTGGATACCTTTGTCATAGCGGCGAGAGGACACTGATCCACACAATCACACACGCGGTCCCACAGCACAGGACACATCTTTTTCTTATCATTTATTTGAAAACGTCTCATAAAAACTAGAAAAATAAGTACTTTATCGAGTCCGAGTTTGACAATTCACACACAAAAATGCATAAATAGTGGTGGGGTGGCAATAAATTAAGAAAGGTGGGGGTGCATAAATAAACCAAGATGCTGGGACAGGGGCGGGTGGGCCTCAGGGTCACACACACAGGTCTCCATCAGCCACACATTTCAGGTCACGGGCCAGGAGGCGGAAGAGGTTGGATGTGACAGAGGCTTCAAGGCAGCCACGGGATTCCTGTGGAGAGGAAAGGACAGCTCAATGGCTGTTCGCCATCTGGGCCCCACGTTGTCCCCAGAAACTGGTCCCTCCCCAGTCGCTCACCTTCTTCTCAGCCTCCTGGAGGCGGTGCAGCCATTGGTGGAGGCGGCCCCGGGGCCTGGGGCCTGCTGTGGACTCAGCTGGGACCTGTGGGCAAAGGAGGGTGGTGAGTGAACAGTGTCTCAGACACAGGGACACACACGGGTGGTCAGAGCCCACAGACATGGCCCGGGAGCCCAGGGCACGCACACAGGCCTGAAGCTTGGAGTGGATGTGGCGCAGCGTGAGAAGGGGCTGGTCCAGGACGTCTCCCAGGGTCGAGTTAGCCACGGCGCCCAGGACCCTCTGTGTCAGGGCCAGCTCAGCCTCCAAGGCCACAGGGCGCTCCCACACCTGAGCAGGGGAGACAGACAGCTGAGGGCTGCATGTGAGAGAGGACAGGGGAGGAGGGCAGAGGGAGGACTAGGGGGAGGGCAGGAGAGAGCAGAGGGAAGGTCACTGTGAGCCGGTGAGGAGAAGAGGTCAGAGGCCTGCTGGGGCTGCCAAGGCACAGGGAACAGTGAGGAGGAGGAGGTGCTGGGGCCACCTAAGAAGCCAGGGGAGCAGGGCCAAGTGAGGGCAGGGCTGGGCCTGAGTCTCCCAACTCACCTGCAGCTGCCTCAGGTCCCAGGACCTGGGGAACGGGTGGGAGCTGCAGCTCTGGTGCCTCAGCAGGAGGGACTCTTCCTGGAGAGCAAGGGCAGAGGTCAGCCACAATGGAGGGTGACCTCTTCAGGGGGTGGAGGATGGCTAGCAACAGGAGCAGGGGGCTAAGGTCCCAAAGGATGGAGAGGCATCTCCAGAGCAGAACAAGAGTCAGCCCCCAGCAGCCAGAGCAGGGGAGGCCACTGTGCGAAGGGCGGAGGCCAGCCTGGGGAAGGAAGGGTGCAGGGCCACCTGGAGCCAAATGGGCCTGTGACCCACAAAGGGAAGGGTGGGGGGTTCGTCCACAGCGCGGTATTTGGGAGCCGAGATGGGGGTCGGGGACTCACCAAGGCGTGCTTGGCCCTCCTGAAGGCCTTCATCTCTTGTGGGGACAGAGACTTGAACTGGGCCACGTGGCAGCCCCTTCCACCCAGGAGGGTCTCCAGGGGCGTGGGGACGGGAGCTGCTCCTGTGCTGGTCAGCACCGTGCTCATCAGCATCAGCACCAGCGGGCCACACCCGGCCAGGGCTGTTAGGGAAGGATGGGCAGAGGAGGGCACAGAGTGTCAGGGGCTGAGGGTGGGGGCTGTGGGGAGTGAGGGTCATGGGCAATGACATGGAGGCTCACCCAGCTTCATCCTGGTCTCTGGTCTCTGGTCTCTGTCCCAGGCGGGAGATCCAAGCGTCCTCTCAGAGGCTGTTCCTGGGGCTCACTCAGCCCTGTTTGCTGTCTCTGGCCTCGGTCTCCTCTTCCAGGTCCCAGCCGGCTGCTCAGTGTGTGTCGCTGAACTCACAGGTCGGCTCCGATCCAATTGCTCCCTGGGCTCCATGGTGCAGCTTTTGGGCTGCACAGGCGGGCAATCCCAGCTGATGTAGGAAAAGTGAAAACACACCTGCCACTAGGGGAGGCCCCAGGCTGGGGAAGCCCGTGCAGGGCGGGGCCTGGAGCCAGGTGAGCAGCTGGAGTGAAACAGAAAGTGACACACACTCAGGCTCACCTACAGGAGGTGAGTCCCAACCGGGTCTCAGCAGAAGGGCAGCCTCAGCCCCACAGGAGGGGCAGCCTCTCCGCAGGACACCCCTGCAGGCAGAGGGGGAGCCCCTCCAGGGCTGTGGCCACCAAGAACCTGGAACTTCTGAGAAGGAGGCTGTAGGGGAGGGGGGAGGTGAAGGGAGCAGGCTGCTGCTGGCGGGAGGGGTGGTGGGGGAGAGAGTCAGCAGGACAAAGCTGCCCAGAATTAAGAGAGGAGACCAGCTCTTCCCTCCCTCCCCACCGGGTACCGGGTACCGAGAAAGAGGGGGAGGAGGGGGGCTGACAAACATCTTTAATGTCCAGATTGGAGGCACCAGGCATAGGAGTCTCTGCTAGGGAGCCGGGGGGGGGGGGGGGGGGGGGGGTTGCCAGGGCTTCAGGGGTCCTGCTCAGAGGTGACAAATGCCTCCCTTCACTCACCAAGTGTCACTCAGCCCCCAGCACGTTCCAGGCAGTGCTCAAGGCGCCAGGATTAGAGCAATGAAAAAACAACCCATTAAACAAAACTTGTTGGAGCTTTCTTATAAAAAACAAACAGACTTTACTGTATTGATCTTTAGAGGGAGAGGAAGAGAGGAGAGGGGAGGGGCATTAATGTGAGAGTGAAACATGTATGTGAAAGGGTGGCCTCCCACACGTGTCCCAACTGGGAACAGAACCCCAAACCTGGGCATGTCCTCTGACCAGGAATTGAACCAGCGACCTTTCCCAGGGTGGACGCTCCAGCCTCTGAGTCACACCAGCCAGGGCTCATGGCCTTTTTACAGGAGGGAGTGGGGGAGGGGTGAGCACTCAGTGTATATTACATCAGGGAACAGAAAATGAAAGCACAAAAGTGAGGTGACAGCAGAGTGTAGGAGGGGCTGCACTGAATGAGGCCAGAAAAATCACATTTGAGCAAAAACTGAAAGTGGGGAGTGAGGGGGTGAGCCATGTGAAGATCTGGAAGGAGAAGAAGACACCCCCTACCCCCTGCATCGGGGAGTGCTTTATGCTCCCCCCATCATGGAGGCTTCGCCACAATGTAGTATTGAACCCATGATGACATCAGGAGCTCATTTGGAAATGTGTTTGCCTACATTTTAAATATGAGTAACATTGGTAAAGTGAGCAAGAAGCTCATTGTTGCCATGTGTTTTAAAAATAAAGTCTCCTGCCCTAGCTGGTTTGGCTCAGTGGATAGAGTGTCAGCCTGTGGACTGAAAGGTCCCAGCTTCAATTCCACTCAAGGGCACATGCCTGGGTTCTGGGCTAGACGCCAATAGGGGTCGGGCAGGAGGCAGTCCATCAAGATTCTCTTTCATCATTGATGTTTCTGTCTCTCCCTCTCCCTTCCTCTCTGAAATCAATAAGAAAATATTTATTTAAAAAAGAAGTGAGTAAAATAAAAATAAAGTCTCCTGCTTCAGCAGTGTGGCTCAATGATTGAGCATCAACCGATGAACCAAGAGGTCAAGATTGGATCCCTGGTCAGGAACATGCCCAGACTGTGTGCTTGGTCCCCAGGAGGGACCATGCAGGAAGCAGCTGGTCTATAATTCTCTCACCATTGATGTTTCTCTCTCTCCCTCTACTTTTCTCTCTTGCTCAAATCATTAAAAATCAACATTTTTAATTATATATATTTAAATATATTTTTATTGATTTCAGAGAGGAAGGGAGAGGGAGAGAGATAAAAACATCAATATTGAGAGAGAATCATTGATTAGCTGCCTCCTGCATTGAGCTCCCCCACCCCCGGAGGAAGCTACAACCCCAAGAATGCCCTTGACAAAAATCAATCCAGGACTCCCATTCCACAGGCTGACAATCTATCCACTGAGCGAAGCCCGCTAGGACTAAAGAGATATATATATATATATTTTAATTTATTTATTTTAAAGAGCATGCAGCATGGAGTTAAAGGGTCTGGGATTCAAACCTGGCTCTGCCCTCACTAGCTGTGTGACCTTGACAAAGAGCCCTGCAGTTGGCAGCAAAGACCTCTAGCCCACAGGCTTGGACAAATGAAGAAGTGCACTCGTCTGTGTAAGGAGGTGTGTGTGGTTAATAGAGGCTGTTGATTGAGACCACCCTAAGCCTCCACTGGAAGCCTCCACAGGGTGCTGCTTCAATGTCCACGACTCATCCACAAAGGAAGGATAATGAGGCCTTTGTACAGATGAGGAAACTGAGGCCACAGAGAAGTAACTTGCCCAGTCACACCCTGCTAGTGGCAGGGTCAGAGTTGAACTCAAGTCACCTGATGGCCCTGGCTAGGCGTTTTTTACCAAAAAGTGCCACTCAGAGTGATCACAGGGGAACAGCCAGTGTAGATGCAAGAATATTTAATAATGAAACACAGAGTAGCCCATTGCTCAGGGATTTCAAATACAAAAGACACACAGGTAACAGAATCCAAAATACTGCAGTAACCTAAGGACTCCAGGCCCTTTCACTGCCAAGTCCCTTAGGGCAGAGGCCTCCCCAGTGGAGAGATGCAGCGTCACAGATTCACAGAATCTCACAGGAGACGCTGAGGGCTCAAACAGGGCGTGGGAACGGCATGGAGACTGGTTCTGCGCTGCTGGTGCCCAGGGAAGTAGAGCCTTGTCCACGGAACGTGGCCCGCGCCCCCGTGGACTCAGGACTCCAGTCTCTCCAGTCTCTCCTGCCGCACAGACCCTGGAGGGTCTCAGGGCGATGCTCTCCGCAGAACCGTCCCTGCTGCCAGGGACGCGCTGTCCTCTCGGGTCCTGTCCCCGCGCTCCAGGGCGCCCACGCCCACTGGCTGCAGCCCTGCCCGGGCCCCAGGGAGCGCAGCCCGGCTGATCGCCGCCTGCAGCCCGCGGTCCCTCCGCAGCCGCGCTCAGAGGCAAGGCGCCGAGCGCGCCGCCAGCTTCAGGTCCCACGCGAGCAGGCGCAGGAGGTTGAAGACGATGGTGGCTTCATGGCACCCAGGCGAGTCCTGGCACCGGGGAAGGAGGCGAAGCGGGGCTGAGGCAGCCATTTCCCCCTCAGGGCTCCGGGGTCCCGGCTGCTCCACTGCACCGACCCCACCGCACAGCGCCCACCCCACTCCGCCCCGCCCCATCCACCGCAGCTACCCCGCCCGACCCACCCCGCACCACCCGGTCCCAACCCACCCACCGTCCCGCCCCGCCCCGCCCGCCCCCTCTCTCACCCCTCTCCGCCGGTGCGGACGCCTCCTGGGTGCCCTCGGGCACTTCCTCGAGGAGCCTGGCCGCGCCAGCTGGAGCTGCAGGGGGCACAGGAGGTCAACGAAGGAGCCCAGGGACCGTCTCCCACCGCCCGGCCCACGCGCCCCAGCCCCGCCCTCGGACCCCAGCGGGACGCGGACTGTGCCTGGACGGGTGGGCGCCGCGCACAGAGGAGAGCGGCGGCCGGGCTGTGGGCGGAGGCGCAGACACGCGGCGGGGACACTCACGCAGGCCTCCACGTCCCTCCGCGCCGACGCCAGCAGCTCCAGGGTGGGGGCGACGCCGGGAAACAGCTCGGGGCTGGGCAGGCTGCTCAGCACGGCCTGGGCGTCCGAGAGGCCCCGGGCCACCCGGCGGAGCCCCGCGCACGACTGCGGGGACCCGGCGAGTTAGAGACGCCGCCACCCGGCCCTGCCCGCCCGCCCCCCGCCGCCCCGCGCCCCGGGGCCTCACCCCGGGCAGCCGGGGGCCCCTCCGCGGGCGGAAGGAGCAGTTCCATGGCCTCCAGCTCCGCGTCTCTTCCTCCTGGCGGCACAATGAGGGGCTGAGGCTGCGCCCTCGCCTGTGCCTGAGGCGCGGGCAGCTCGGGATCCCTGCGCGGAACCCCCTGCCGGTCCAGGATGGACGTGCGTGCTGTGCGCGGAGCCACAGAGCCCGCCGAGGACCGAAGGGGAGTGACATGCACCCCTGCCGAGCGCGCACCCCGACCAGAGCCTGTCCGCCTGGGGGCGCCCTTAGGGAATGGCAGGAAGGCGCTGTCTGAGCTCAGGTGCCTCTGGTCAGAACTCAGACCCTGAGGTCCCACATGCGCCTGCGTGAAGCCAGGATGCCAGGCCCCTGGGGATGGGGACCAGCGTCCCTGGGACTGGGGTGTGCGCGTCACTCACGTAGTGGTCCCTCAGCGCCCTGACCGCCTCCAGCGCCCTGGGGTCCAACCAGCGGTAGTGAGAGAGGAAGCAGCGCCTGGGTTCAGTCACAGCGGGGTCCGCTGCCACGTGCACTGTCACCAGGACCCACAGCCCCACGGACACCGCGGCTGCACCACGGGGCCTCATGTCTGCTCCTGCACAAAGCCGGGGACGTCGGGGAGGCCGAGGGGAAGGCCCGGGCCCAGCCCCTGCTCCTGCTCCACTGGCAGGGGAGGGTGTCAGGGGCCGGCTAGGAGCACCCACAGGGGGAGAGGGGCTGAGGGCCCTGAGACCCTTCCTCCCCTCAGCCCCTCTCCCCTCACTGCTCACCTGCAATGAGGCCTCCGTGCTGGCCCTGGGCTTGCCTTCCGCTGTCCCCTGCCAGCTGACAGCTTGTTGTCCACCTTGGACAGCGGTGTCTGCACCTCCATGGCCGCTTTTAAGCGCGTGGCTGAGGAATGGTGAGCGGCTGGGCTTCCCCGTTCAGGGTAAGTTTCCGAACATCATTGCTGGACGCTGGCCCAGTGGGATGCTGGCTTGCCCTGAGGACTTGGCCTGCCTGTCCCGGGGTGCCATCACTGGCTCTGCCCTAACCAGCCTTACACAACTGCTTGTTTATTTTTTTTTTTCTGGACATCTGTTTGTCTTTTCTGCCTGAGTTGTTTTTTCTTTTGCACTCTAGGAATGAACCAAAGATACATGTTTCCTTATCTTCCAAGGTACCTTGGCATAGGTGCCTGTACAAGGATCTGCCTGGAGTTGGTACTGGGGGTTTCCAGCCTCTCTTTCATTACATTTCTGCCTGGCTTTTTCTCTTTTCTTTCTTTGTCAGCATGATTATTTCTCCTTCTGGGTATTATTTCTGATTATTTCTCATTCAGGGTAAGTTTGCTGGACTCTGGCCCAGTGGGATGCTGGCTTAGGCCTGAGGACTTGGCTTGGCTCCGGCCCCATTCTCTGTCACCAGCTCTCCTTTCATCCTCTCTGTAGCCTCTTTTCATCAACTTCCTCGTCTTTTTCTCTATTTAATATAATAATGAGTCTTTATTAGTGCTTAGTGTGTAGTGGGTGCTGTTCTAAGTAATTGATACAGACATCGCATTTAATTATCCAAAGGGACTCTCCCAGTGGTGTCCTAGGATCACTTCTGTTTTATGGAGAAGGGAACTGAGGCACCTGACATGAAGGAACTTTTCCCTTTGCAGTGAGTGTCAGAGGGAGCATGTGCACCACATACTGCCCGGGATTTAGAGCTTCTTATCTTTGCTGTATTTGCTCCTAAATATCTGACTCAACTTTCCTCTATCTGTGTCTTCATCTCATTCCATCTCTCTGTCTTTCTTCTGTGTGTGCCTTCTGTTTTTTCTTGTCTCTTCTTCCCACTCTATCTCATCTTTGTCTACTCCATCTCTCTCATTCCTCTTTCAACAGATAAGCAAGCCAGGGTCTCCATGTCTCTTTCTGTTTGTCTGTCTGGATCAATCTCCTGTTTTAGTTTAAAAATAAAATCTATTATTTCTTTTTTTCTGACAAAATTAACAATGCAGGCTTATGACTAAAGCCTGAAAAATACAAAAGTGCATAAAAGAGAAAAAAAACCACCTATAACTTCACGTAATTCTCTCCATCTCACATCTGGAATAATTTTTCCAATGTGTAGAAATTTTACATATATTTATTCGTGCCAAAGCAGCTCATTCATTGCAAAGATTCAGTCCATACAAAAAGATACAACTTGGAGAATGAAAGGAAGTCCTTAGTAAACCTTCTTGGGGGTCATTCTTTTTAATAATTAGTAGCTATTACTTTACCTTCCTTCCCCCCATGAACAATTTCTGCCAAAATGGAACCAGACTGTCACGTGTGGTTGCCTACTTTTCGTGTCTCATTTGCATTCACCAGATCTTTATTAAGCTGTATCAGTTAGGATCCCCAGCAGAAAACTGATGGCCTGATCTATTTAGGATAATTTGAGGTGGGTTTAATACCAGGAGTATTTACAAAGGGATTGGATAATGAAGGGAAAGGACAGGGGGTAGTGCAAGGCCTTGGGGCCTTCCTGGGAGGGCATCTGAAGGCAGGGGAGAGGGGAGGGAGTGGTTACCTGAGCTGAGGAGAGAGTCCTGTGCAAAGGTCAAGGAAACAGAGAAATTGTGGTGGCCCTGAAGGGAAGAAGCCGGACCTCTCAAAGAACAGTCTCCTTCCCCTCTTCCCAGTCCTAGTGCTAGCTCCCAATTGGCTGCACCAGATGAAGGACAAAGGACAGCCTCCTGGGGCCCAGAGCAGAGTAAAAGAGTAGAAAGATGGGCCTGGGGGGGCAATGGAAGACGTCCCAATATACACCGCTATTAAGGCCCTCATTCTGCAGGTCATTAAATAACCAATCCCCTTTGGTGAGCATTGATATCACTTTGGGTATTTTGTTAAAGCCATGGTTATCAAGGCCGGAGAGAGGGAGGGAGCAATATTTTTATTCTCTTAACAGTGTCCTTCATAGAACTGAGTATTTACACTTGGATGAATTCATACTCATAAATTTCTCCCTTTCATTGATTATGCTTTCGGTGTATCCAAGCAAGCCCAAGTGGGTGTCCCCATTTTCCCCTCTTTTGTATTCTAGTTTTATAGTTTTGCACTTTACATTTAGGCCCATAGTACATTTTGAGTTAATTTTCATGAAACGTGTAAGGTCTGTATCCAGATTCACGTTCTGTGCAGGTGAATGTCCTGTTGTTTCAATACCATTTGCTGAGAAGACTATCCTTTCTCCAGTGAATTGTCTTTGCTTTTTTTTCCCGTCAAAGATCAGTCAATTATATTTGTGTGGGTCTACTCCTGGACTCTCCATTCTGTTCCATTGATTTATCTTTCTTTTTCCAATACCACACTGTCTTGATTATGGTAGCTTTAGAATAAGTTTTGACATCAGGTAATATTAGCCCTCTACATTTGGTCTTATTCTTTAATGTTGTATTAGTTATTCTGGGTTATCTGAATTTCTGTGTAAACTTTCAGTTTGCCAGTATCCATAAAATAACTTGCTAGGCTTTTGATTGGATTGTATTGAATATATAGATTAAATTGGAAGAAATGACATTTTGACAATATTAAGTCTTCCTATCCATATGCTTGGATGGAAAAGGTCTATTTTTAGATCTTTGATTATTTTCACAGAGTTTTGTAGTTGTTCTCACCTACAGTTTGTTCATATTTTGTCAGATTTGTACCTAGGTATTTCACCTTGAGAGAGTAAATGTAAATGATGTTTGTTATTTCAAATTCAAGTTGTTTATTGCTGTTATACAAACAAGCAATTGCCTTTTGTACATTAACATTGCATTCTTCCACTTTGTTATAATCACTTATTGGCTCAGATATGTTCTTAAATGCATAATATTAAATACACAGGACTATGAAAAAGATAATTGCTTAATTAGACCTGCTTTTTAATTTATTTTTTTTAATATATTTTATTGATTTTATACAGAGAGGAAGGGAGAGAAACAGAGAGTTAGAAACATCGATGAGAGAGAATCATCGATCAGCTGCCTCTTGCACACCCCCTACTGGGGACATGCCGCAACCAAGGTACATGCCCTTGACCGGAATCGAACCTGGGACCTTTCAGTCTCCAAGCCGACACTCTATCCATTGAGCCAAACCGGTCCCGGCATAGACCTGCTTTTTAATTTAGCTAAACTTTTTCCAGCCCAGTGAAGCACCCCAACTTCTCTTTCAGATAATTGTTAGCAACACAGCAATAAATATCAACATGAAGCAGATTATAATTGTAGATCATGCAGGAAGAATGAAGGTTGAAATATTTAACTGCAGCAATGTTTGACTATATTCTGCAGAGTGAGAAAACATGAAGTCATTTCTTACTTCTTTTCAGTCAGGTCAAGTTTCTAAACTTTCTAAATCTCCATTTTTTCAGCTAATGAAAAGAAAATAAGATTCTATCGAGTCTCCCATCTACCTACTCCAGGATTTCTGTGAGGATCAAATGAAATGAGGCATAGGAAAATGCTCATAGACATTTGTTTAAAATGTAAAATGTTTCCACCTGGATATAAAGCAAGTTGTGTTCCTGGGCTGAAGAAACTCCAAGGAGGCTAGTAGCTAGGGAGAGGAAGCCAGGCATTGCTACAGTGATGTCATTACCTGTCATTACCCAGTGCCCACAACCACTGTTTCCAGGCTGGGCTGAGCTATGGGCTGCATTTTGTGCCATGGGGTCTTGGCAGCACTGGCTGTGATTTGGTAGGGTGTCTCTCTGGGGTGGTGATGGGGGCCTGTGTCCCACTTGGGGAAAGCGAAGTGTTGCTTTGTGGGTGCCAGGTTCATGGTGCGGTTTCTCTGTAAATGGCCAGTGTGAGACACAGCAGCTCCTGCGTTAAGTGTCTGCCCCCTGGTGATCAGTGTCTGTCATAGTGACTAGTTAGATTTGGACACTTAGCACATTAACATTTTATTTATATAGATTGTGGTACATTGCTATTTATTGTTACATTCATAAAGGAAAGAAAGATGAAGTTTCAGTTAGAGGTTAGTGAAGAAAAGATTCCATTTCAGGGGGTGCCCCTGGGCCTTCGACCGCTGAGCGCAGGCCATGGAGCAGAGGCCAGGGGCTGCTTCCTGGGCTGTGCCGACCCCTGCAACAGGCTGAAGCAGCACAGGAGCCCGCGGAGAACAAAGGGGTGCTACAGGCCAACCTGCTGAGCTTCCAGGACAAGGAGGAAGAAACCGAAGTAGTTTTCAATGTGAAGAAATCAAGTGAGAGCAAAAGATAGTAAAATTACTTAAGAAAGAATACAAAGAAGATCTTGAAAAATCGAAGACTAAGTCAGAACTCAACTCAGCAGCCAACATTGCAACATAAATGCGTTACAAAAAAAAAAAAAAAAAAGGACAGATTGTTGGAATGGTGGCGGCCAGGCCTAGAGTGGCCAGGCACAAGGCAGTGGCTGTCAGGCCTGGAGCAGCAACAGCCAGGCCCCAGAGCAGCAACAGTCAGAACCAGAGCAGCAACAGCCAGGCCTGGAACAGCCAGACCTGGGGCAGTGGCAGCCAGGCCTGAGGCAGAGGTGGCCAAACTCAGGGTGGCCAGTCCAGGAACACCCAGGCCCGGAGTGGCTGGGCCCGGA